ACCGCCTTTTCAAACTCAGGCCATGACAAAGCAGCCTGTTTTTTCTGCCTTTGTTTCAAAACATGCCACGTCCGCCGTTATTTCAAAGAAAAAATAGGTAACTATGGCTGCAGTACAAACCACTTCGTATTTTCAATCGAAAGGTGAGTTGCAGGTCACAATCTAGTCACTTATGTTTCGAAAAAATGCAACGTCGGAATAGTTATTTCAAGAAAAGAAGGAAGAGAAGGCAAGGAATCAAAGAGAAAAAAGGCACAGTGTTGACAACGGATCTGGCAACATGACACTCTTGTGTGTTTTTTTTTCTGAACAGGAGCGGACCTGGCAGGTTTTGAGTTCGCAAAGCCAAAAAAAACACGCGCCCTCACATGAACATACTTACCTCCATTTTTTTTGGTTCGGCAAGCAAAGAAAGGGACCAACTGCAGGAAACCTGTCCATCCCAAGTTCAGGGCTGCTGCAGCGAAAATATGCTGGCCCTCCTAAGTGAAGGCCAATGCAATACAGTTGGAAGGGAAGGCTGCACCCCAGCCTCTTCAACTAACCAGTAGGATCTGAGTTAGTTCCAGAAACCGGGACCCAGGTTCGGACCCAGGTTCGGACCCAGTTGGTTCGGACCCAGTTGGTTCGGACCCCATGGTCTCGTCTTTTCATGATCTGAGTTAGTTGCAGAGACCAGGACCCAGGTTCGGACCCAATTGGGTCTCAGTAGCCCAATGCACATCCTCCAGAATGAACGTTTGCGAGGCACTGGCTGCCAGCGCTAGCGCTGTCGAGCGCTAAGAAGCAAGACGGAATAACCATGGCAAGCTGCTCTGCGCAGTGGCAGCCATATCTGCGCTGGGAGAGGACAAAGAAGGGTGGCGCTCTGTCTAGTAGGAGATCAGGGAGAAGGACAGCAGTGGGGACTGGCAGAAAGTGCTAAAAGTGTGAGCAGCGTTTCAAAAAAAAAACTGCAATGGCGTACTAAGGAAAGGACAAACACTGGGCACTGTCAATGTATCCCATTTTTCCTTTTTTTTTTTTTTTCAAACAAAACAGGTCCTCATGGCCCTGCCTCAATATCCATTCTGGAGAGTATCAGTACGGTTCCTATTCCACCGGCAAGGCAGAAACACCACAAGAACACCCTCACCCTTCCTTGGGTTTGGCCGAAGGCCCCCTGATCAGCATTGGTTGCTCCAGATGCCTGGAGGATTGACTGTCAGATTGCCGTTCCTCTTCCTTTCCTCTCAGGTTTATTTACCCAAACCTGCCAAATTTAACGTGAAACCGAGAAAGGATTAAGAGGTGTGGAAGCCAAGAGCCCCTGAGCTTGTCGGGAATGTCTTGTTGGAGTCAGATCTTGTATGTTGTTGACTGTTTCTTTGCTGGTCTCCTCGTCTCTGCCATGCCGACAAACCTATGTGGCATGTATTGGGTCCTGCCGGTCTGCTGATTGGGACCTCTGCCTTCCAAAGCCCACTTCTGAGTTGTGCCAGTCTTTCCACCGTGTACAAGAGCTATTTATATCCGCTACCCTGCCTCTTGCGAGCCATACCTTTGCAAATTTAGCTTTGATTTTCTGCTGCAGGTCCAGATCCTCCGGCATAAAATGCTTCGTTTTTTTTTTTGTTTTTTTTTTAAAGGAAGTTCCGAAGTTGTGTCTTTATCACCAATAAATTTGAGGCCGGGGATTCCTCACCATCTCAACCCGGAAAAGCCTGAGGCCATAACCCAGATTAGGCTGGTGCTGGAAACCGGGTCCAGCGTCCCATATCCACAATCTTCGAAAAAAAGCCACAACTGGATTGAGAAAAGGACTAACCCAAGGAAACCTTATTCCTACACGTCTGGGCCTCTTATCATTCTCTAGCAGAAGATTCGAAAACCCTAAGCCCTACTGTTTCCCATGCGTTTTCGCTTAAATTTTCTTTTCGTTTCAATCGCTGCAGCGGTGGCAGCACAGTGATTCAGTGTTTCGTGCTTGTTCAATGGAGAAATACGGAGTTGCACTATGTAGTGCTTGGCGGCATCCATGCGAATTGAAACTACACAGAGATGACTACCATGCCCCCTGCTCGAGGATGATATACCATCAAGAAATGCTCAGAAAGAAAAAGGAAGATTTGTGGAATGTGGAATGTCCACGGGTCACCTGCATGACACTCCCACCCAACTCCCTGACTTATGGAAACCCAGTGTGGCCCCATGTTTTTCCCTCAAATTCCCTGGACCTCGTTCTACCAGATTGAGTGTCTGGCACTGTCACTGCGCCATAATCACAATCCGGTAGGCCAACTGCCACCTTGCCAAAGAACTTGGCACTCGACCGGAACTCTGCATTCCTAAACAACCCAAGAGGTATTCTGGCGGGAGGAATCATAGCCTAACTTATGCCCCCAGTAGGCCCACTGTTCTCTGCAATGAATTGCAGTGGCATGCGAGCTGTACACTAACCTTGTTTGATGTTGCCTGGTTTTGAGTCCTTKGGGATTTGATCCCGCAACCTGTTTGTCTGCTTGTTTGCTTGTTGGCTGTGTTTGCCTGTTTATTTTGAGCCTTGTTGGACTCGATCCCTAGACCTGTCAGCAGCAGTCTCTGTTGGCTGG